TTCATGGCATTTATGGCTGCTTCACTGCGGGGGCGAGGAAAGTTTGAATTACTTGTTCCAATCGAAACGGAAGGCGAAGTTGGAGTTGGCGGTTCATCGTATTTCCTCTTTAACGGATTGGATGTGCTTGCAGCAGGGGGTGGCTTGCCAGTGAGAACGTTCCATCCACCAGGTTCCGATTGAGATGATTTCCGCCCGGGTGGATTGATACGTAAAGGCTCCTCGAAGCCGCTAGACACAGGAGGAGTGGGCGGCACGGTCGTAGGCGGCGGCGGTGGTGGCATTGTCGCAGAGCTATTCCACCCACTCGCTGAGATATTCCACCCACTCGCTGAAGGTTCCGCGTCTTTCATGTCCACGTCTAGACGCGGAGTTTTAAAACCAAACTATGGTAACTTGTAAGTGTAAGCACGAAGCACGAACCTGTACTTGGCTGTCCACTCTGGATGGAGTCCTTACCCGTAGGTTGATGATCTAAGATATTGGCGAATAAGCTCAAATAAACAATGATAGTCTTTGCCACTTTTACCGCTTGTTTGTGCAGCTGTATCTTGGGTGTCTCCCCCAGGCTGATCTTTGGAAGAAGAGGACTGACCCGATCCCCAGGTACTTCCCTCTGTAGCATTGTTCGACCCCCATGCTGACGATGTATTTCCCCATAACGAAGATGTCGATTGTTCATTTTCAACAGCCCAAGGGGAAGGCCCAGTCGCCCAGTTACTATCAGTCGTCGTTGTGTTCCATTGAGGAGTGGCAGGCTTAGCCCAGGCCTCCGATCCGGAGGGCTTCGATGATGACGACGATGAATTCCCTTGATATCGAACGTCATCGCAAGAAATCTCGAGATTGAAGTAAAATAACATACATGCATTCGCCGACGATTTTTGGAAGCTTCGATCACCACTGGAATCTCCAGTTGACCAAGGGTCCGTATCCGATCTCCCGAAATCTGATCACAAGTTTATTACCAGATAACATCAAAAGCAAAAAATCCCGGACTCACTTGTTAATGCGCGAGGTCCTTTGGGTGCATTTCCAGGCCTAGGGCCTCTACCAGCAATAGCCCGACGCTCCGCTCGATCCCATTGCGATTCACTAGGATGAACATACTCGCAATGAAGTGGATTAAAGCAACCACGTCCTATAGGTGTTCCGTTGTCGTCATAAAACTAAAAATCAATTTAGTCCAGCATATAGCAGGGGACGAATTATGGCTAACCAACCTTGCATCGAACATGTCTCGTCATGGCGACGGCAAGAGATTCCTAAAGGTATACGTCGATGTACCTTTAGCGAAGATGTCGCTGAACACGAGTGGGAGTTAAAAGATCTGTGTCTGCAATGCTTGTCAGAGATTTGCGTTGAACAGTGGCATCTGTAAACCCACGCGAACGTTCCGAGACAACTTCGACGCTAGCACCGCACAGCTGGTATACGATTTGCCCCACGTAGATGGATTGTAGATGAGCGTCTGCTACGAGGGCGGAGAGGAATGAAAGGGAGGCTGAGAGGGCGTGCCGAGGGAATTAGCCGAAATTAACTCCCCTCCAAAGATAAACGGACCTTCGACGAACACTTGAGATAGTAAAACCGTGTCTTTTTTCGCGAGAAGGATGGTAGCTATAACCTGAAGCCAAAGGACGCGTAAATGCGACGAGAGGAGACGGAGAAAGAGGTGACAGACTCTTGAGCAGCTTGCTGAAACCGACGAACGCCTCGTGGATGTAATGCTGTCGGCTAACGACGATAATGAGCTCTTGCGTCGGGACTCGAGACGACGGTCAACGTCAACTAACGAGCAGATTTTCAGCGCAAGACTGGTGATACGGGATGGTGAAAAAGCAGGTGCAGTGGCCGTAGAAAGAAAAGGAGGAAATATATGGAGGTCCGAAGGCTCGCTTGCCTGAAGTGGACGGCAACGCCCGATGTTGGTTATTGACTGCCATGACGGCTGCTCCAAGGACGAAACAGTCGCAATGCCCCTTGACTTCCAACGGCCATGGTCTTCTCTACAGACGATCTGCGCAGTATTCCTGTCTATGCGCCCCTTCTTGCCGCCGTAATCGCTCCATTTTGCACCTTGTTTGACATCCCAGCCCTTTCAGAGAGGTGGTTTACCAAGAACGGCGTCGATCTTCCTGACCCAAGGCCAAACCTGATCTTGTCCTCGGTCGGCCTCGCATTCAGCTTCGTAGCCAATGTTCTCCTTATCATTCGTTTTTCGATGAGTGGGAGAGGGTGGAGGACTGCGACAACGTTGTCCACAGCGTGCTGGACTATCAAGGTTGGTGGCTCGGCGAATCACGACGTCCAAGGCGCTAATCGCTCTTCTCGCAGTTCATTATTGCCCTCGCAAACATACTTTCGTTTGGGTTTTTGACGAGGAATCAGTCGGGCATTAGCTATGGTGAAGCGTTCTGGTGTGCGTGAGTTACTGTCTCCGACCTCCGTTTGCGGCTGGCTCAACGCGCATACACAGACTCGTCTCGCTCTGTATGACGGCGGTCATCATGGCTCTCTTACTGTGCCATTACATTTCCAGATTGAAGGACTCCAAGTCCACCCTCCCTTCAGAACGGCAAATTGAAGTTCGCATTGCCGGTCGTCATTTCATGATACAGACGACCCTCTTCGTCTGCACCACCGGGATTTTGGCATTATACATGTCGAGATTGGAGCAGTGGACCTACATGCAAGGAATTTACTTCTCTGTTGTCTCCTTTTTGACCATTGGCTTTGGGGACTTCACTCCAACGAAGACTGCGACTCAAGTCGTTTTGTTTCCATTTCTCCTGGTCGGCATAGTGCAGCTTGCATGCCTTATTGGTATGCTTGTGCATTATTTTTCTCAGAGAGTCGCGAAGCAACATGCGAATCGCCGCAGACGAGCCGCCAAGTTACGCCAGGAGGAGGAAGACAAGCTCACAAACGAACCAAATCTTGAAAGAGAACTGCAGTTTCTCGCAGAACTGTACAGATCCACCAACCAACATGAGGCTGTCAAAAGTCTCGCTGTAGCAACCATTGGCTTCCTCACCTTCTGGCTCATTGGGGCTCTGGTATTTTCTCGAGTGGAGGTGCGCATATATGCACATTTGATCTGGGAGCTGTTAATAATATATAAATAGGACTGGACATATGGACAAGGGCTCTATTTCTGCTACGTCTTCTTCCTTGCGGTCGGTTATGGTGATTTCGCTCCCATAACACCGGCTGGTCGAGGTTGGTTTAAATTGTTCTATTCCGGTTCTGACTGAATCAACTCCCCTTTCCCAGTCATTCTAACGGTCTATGCAATCATCGCCGTCCCAATTATGACTTCCTTCGCTGTTGAGACTATCCAAGGTATCGTTCGAGATGTCTCTAACCGACTTCTCGAGCGACGCAAAGCGAAGTTTGGTCTCTCGATAAGACTGGATCCTTCTGACGGTCCGGGAGACTTGGGCGAATCTGCCGATCGCGAAAAAGGCCTGCAACGAGCATTTACAGGTGGCGACGTGACTGTCCACAATGCAGAAGGCGATGAGAATCTGCCGAGGTTACTGGACTGGGACCGACCGCACACGGAGTTCATCGACAGAGCCCATCGACAAATCGATAGCCTCCTTGAGAACGCGAAGAATGGACAAGATAACGAGAACGAGAAGAACGACAAGGATTCTCAAACGACAACTTCAGATTTGCAAGACGCGGATCGACTCCTTACTGAACACGTTCTCGAACTCGCGATTGGCTTGGAACAGCACGCGAGGCGTTTGCTCCTCGCCTTCACGGACGAGGGGAGTGACGTTCACATCCTACTCAAGGCGGATCGGCTCGTACAACTCCAGAATATACGCACACTTGCGGCATGGGAGCAGAAAGTAGACCAAGAAGTGGAATCTTCGGTCACTCATTCTGGAGGAAGTAAGAGTACATCTGCGCCTACAGTGGAGGCAGACAAGGTTGAGCGACGAGACAAGATCAACGTGCTTATGAAAAAGTACTACGAAGAGGAGACCGAACTCAGTTTTCCGAGTGATTTGGATGAGAAAGAGACTGTAGAAGAGATAATTTGCTATAGGGAAGCATTGGCCGGCCTACTGGCAACGGGGAGTCGACTCATGAGATTGAAGGAGGACGAAAAACTGTTGTTCGAACGTAGGGCAAGGATGAGGACAAATGTTATCGCGAAGGACTTGTAATTTTGGAAATATTTTTTTCTTGATTGTAATTCTTGGATGAAGTGATTGTGCAATGCAAACTTCTTGATTTCTTGATTCTTGTTGTTCGAGCGACCAGTTGTCGTGGAAAGCCGAAATGAATGCTTGGAAAACTTCGAGATTTCCGACTCAGAAAGTAAGGTCCGTTTTTATGAGGTTTTATTGCCTGAAATGTGTAATGCAACGAACATCATATAACATGTGATCGGTAGAGCATGATGCGAGGCGAAGAAGATGCAGATGATAAGAATAATGGGAGACGCAATCTAGTTGTGCTGATGGAATCCAAGAATTATAGGTCAGTCTTCGAAACTTGAAGCAGAGGCGAGGTAACACACCTTCTCAAAGCCGATCTTTTTCGAGTTCTCGCGGAAGCACTGACGGCAAAGGTCAAGCCCGTACTTGCGGATGAGGCCTGCCTGGTGGAAGCATTTACGGCTGAACAGACATGAAAGAATAATCGTTCAATTCCAATTCACAACATAATGGACCGCGAGTACGCACCACTGACGGCTGCCCTTGCCGAAGATCTTTGGTCGGGAGTTCCAGATGGCGTCGTGTGTCATTTTCTAGCAAGGATTCAGTATACAATATTATATATCCATTTACAAGTACACTCACGATAGGAGGGGGGGAATGGCTTCGGTGACGACTTCGGGCGTTTGAAGATGGAAGTTGCACGAAAGATGCCCCGTCCGTGTCAAGAAACTGTACAGTTTTACGTTTAGGCGCAATTCGCACGGTGCTGCTTCGGTGCGTACAAATCGGTTATATATTGCATAAGTTGGCTAACTTCCGGTCCCTGTCGATTAGTGGTTAAATCATCTCGTTGTGGCCGAGAAGCCGGGTGTTCGACTCACCCCAGAGACAGTTTGTTTTTTTCTTTTTCTTCTTCGGCCAACTAACCTCCGTCGACAATTCCGTTCGACCTCAAACAACTTTCCGACCTCCCACAACTTGTTTTCGTTACTCACGAATTTTTTGGAACTGGACTGCTTTTTGGAATAGCGACGCCAACTCGGAAGCTTCCTTCAAGTTCCCTACTCGACCGTTTGACATCACCGTGACTAAAAACACTAGGATTGTGCTTTTCGATTCGACTTCCGATCCGTGCTGGACTAAAACCCTGATTCAAAGATATCTCTCAAGTATAAAGCACTGGCGACAATCTGCAGCGGTTGATGTCACGGGCGAGAACTTGAAAAGGGACTCCATCAGGGAGACTACTAGTAGTACTCCGAGTCCTGCCTTGAAATCTCTCTCAAGGAAAAAGTAGAAAACTCTTGACCTCTGTTACCTTTCCATCGTGGTGTTTCTGTGGAACCGGCGGCCCTACACCCTCCTCTTCTACTCGGGTTTAATATGGGTTTCACGAGGGGACTTGAACTCATAACGTACGATCTGCGAACCTACTGGCTATCGGGCGCTCTCGGTTTGAAATCTCCACCCTCACCACGGCCTGTCATCCAACTTCTCTCGCCCCCGCAATTCTATCTCGACGGTTTTGGTCCTCAAGCAGAGATCAGGCTGGTACACTCTATCGATATCCAGCCTGCGACTTCAGAGCGGAGGAATAGCAAGAATCGAAATCAAAAAACGTAAGATGGACTTCATGGGCGAAGGGAAGTGGTCGAAGAACGCGAGCCTGACGGCCGCTTGGAGTCGATAGAAATACGTCCAGCCCTATTCTCGAGACGCTAATCGTTCTCTGACGGCGAATCTGACGAAGCTAACAGTACTAGTCCAAACCAGTCCGCCGCTCAACGAACGTGTTTGGCTCAACACGAAGGCTGACCAGAACGTTCACGAAATGGTCGAGCATTCAACCAGACCAGTCTAGATCTGCCCCTCAAACGCGTTGGTTCGGTGTCAGCCCTTCAACATGTGATATCGATCCATAAGATTCTGGTGGATTCCTATAAAGTCTGCTCGTTCTCCCCCTTTGATCCTCGACGAGCCTGTCCCCGACTTCCATCTCTCGCGATACCCTACTTTCATTATCCCGTCAGCCCGAGCTCACTGGCCCCGTTCATCAGTGCATCGCTGCGGCACTAAATGGCTGCGACTATAGGCTTCTAAACGTAGCGCCTGCAGGTGGTAGCGAAGTTTGGTATCGGGTTTCGTCACCTTCCTTTCACTCCTCAGGAGGTCAAGCTTGACTGTTAGCGATGCCAGCCTCACCGCACGAACCGCCTTGTGGGCCTGGTCAGAGGCGTCAGCGACTGGGCTCACCAACAAGGTCGGTTGCCACCTTATATGCACATGTTATTCACCAACTTTCGAATCAACGCAAGACTCCTGCCAGACCTCAAGTCATTTATCCCTCGAGCACACGTTCACCTACCGCACAAAATATGGTGCTGGGATGCTGGCTGCTGAACCCTCGGTCATGCCTAACCAAATGTTGTACTTGTATTGACCGCTCAAATGTGCCAGTGCGTCGCTTCATGCTTGTTGTTTCGTTTTGAATATTGGGTTGGGCCCCGTTCCCGCTAGACATGAAGAAACCTCCAAAATATGGGAAATGACGGCGTCGTCGGTGAACTTTTGAACGGCGGCTGGCAAACAATCGCATTTTACTCTCGGGCAGGCGTCTTTGGTAGCTTGTACGATAACGGCCAAGGGTGCAAGTGAAGTCGGGAGATGATCTTCACCATATCGTGTCCTTCGCCATGAGTTGGAGTCGAACCAAGCACGAACTGAATTCTCAGTACCCAAAGTTGAAGGCAAGTAACATAAAATATCCAACGCTCTCCTTTCCAAAGTCCTCAAAATTAAAACGACATTATTTCCGGAACGAGGTGTACGTTCTACGATCTGCGCCTACATTCTTATGAAGTATCAGTAGAAACGCAACGTCGTAGTCGAGCGGTTTCAAATAAAGATAGTCATTGTCGCAAGACCTTTTTTACACTGGCGTACTACATACAGATATAAATCATGACAATCAATGGTGAGTGATATCGCAAAAGGTAAGATGCAATGCACGAAGCGAGAACCGCACTGGCCTCTCGTCCATCCAATACAATAGTGTACAACAGTGTATGTGCCCATCATCGAGAAAAGGATATCGAAGATCAAAAGATATATAAAGTCAGGTCGGAGTCGTTAGAGGAGTCGTGTTGCAGGTCATGACCATGTTGTAGGCCCGAAGGTTTGATTTGGTGCTAATGTGTAGAAAGGAAGACCGAAAGAGTCGGCAGTGTTCAACCAGACGGTGTTGCCCCACCAGTTGAGGTTGAAGCCGCCCTTTGGGAATTGGACGGTGAAGTAAATGACGATGAGGGCGATAGCGAGACCGGAGTCGAGCGCGGCAGAAAGAATGTAGTTGTACCGTGTCCACCACTGGAATCGATGTTCGTCAGTAAAAGAACAAATAATCGTGACAAATGTAGAAACTCACTCTGAAGTGGTATCTGCGCATGAAGAATTGGAAGAACGCGCCAAACATGAACCATGACGAGTAGTTGATGCCCGTCGCAGGCGGGATCTGGGCGATACCAGCAAAGGCAGCAGGGACATTGACGAAGCGCCACATCGAGAGTGGGTAGCGGCGGGCGAGGAAGTAGCACGGGATGGGGAGAATGGCGCCGATGAGGAAGAAGTAGACAGCCGGGTAGTAGAGTCCGCCATGACTAAAGAGGCGCTTGGGACCGATACCACCCCAGATGATCGCGCTCGTTGCGAACGTCTTCTGTCCTGGGCAAATGAAGTGATCCTTCTGCTTCGGGTCGCACAGGTCGGGAATGTTCGCGAACATCCAGCTCTGCACACCGACGACGACAAAGCACGCGAGGATGGTCGCGACGACTTGAGCGAGGAACATCGTGCGCGGGGGGATCTTCATGTAGTGACCCAGCTTGAGATCGGCGAGGAAGGAGAGACCTTGCGCCATGCCGACGTAGGTGAAGGACTTGAAGATCATCATCGCGACGGGATGCCCGGGGAGGATGTAGCCGACGATGAGCTCTGCCAGAATCTGAAGCGCGATCGTCTGGTTTGTGATGGCGCGAATCATGCCGATCGGGACGAGGAACGCGAAGGCAATTACGAGCGAGAAGACGAGCGCCCAGATTGGCATCTTGGTGTCGTACACCTCAATGACGACAACGCCGAGAATGAACGCGAGGATTCCGACGAGTGCGTACCACCAGTGAGGAACTTCGGGGTACACCGTCATGAGGCGAGAGTGGACGTCCTTGTTTTCACGAAGGGACCTGCGAAGCTGAAGCATGATGTCCTTCCTGTACCATACTATGAGATAAAGTAGTCAATATATGCGCAATTAACTAGTTGTAGAAGAAACGTACACCAGGTATGAACAAGCACCGCTGTGATACCAGCGAAAGCAGCCATGAAGTCGACGACGAAGGTGACCGAAATGTAGACCGGCGAGTAAGCCTTGTAAGCTTCCTCGTTGAAGGTACCGTTGATGATGACGAGACTCGGATCGTATGGATTTCCAGTGTTATCGAACGGAGTAGAGGTTGACATCGGCAAGAACTTCGAGTAGAAAGTATTCGTGTCTACTACGGGTCAGCAATGGAACGACACAGAAAACAAATTAGAGCTCACAGTAAAGGATTGGTGACAAGATCCAGAACATGAACACGAAGGCGACAAAGGTGTTCACTTGTGCCCACCACTATGTACCAAATAGTTAGTTTGTGCCAACTATCAAGTACGAAAAGCTACTTTGCTTACCGGAATCACGAGGGGAGAGCCGACGTATGAGATCATAGCCCAATCGAATGTGAAGAAGCCCATTCCAAGCCCAGAAGAGTAGCCGAAGAGCTGGTTGACGACGATGTTGTTCGGCGCAATCCAGCAGACCCAATTGAAAACGCTGAGCGCGGTGAAAAGGTATCCAGGGAACCAATACCAGACAAAGCTGCAGATCAATGCAATGACGAAGAAGCGTTCGCGCGAAGTGTGGTTCTTCTCCTTCCTGCCGTAGTTCTTGTGAAGTGCGCTGAAGAGAGCTGTGTTCACGAGAGCGCCGGGGTAGATCATCGCGGCGGGCCAGACGAGGAACTGGCGGACGCAACCAGCGAAGGCGAAACCGATGATCTGAGAGGAGAGACAGAGCATGATGGCGTAGCCGAAGCCCCAGTTCGCGTCGAAGAAGAGACGCTGGCTGGAAACGACCTCGATCGCGTATACACCGTTGGCTACGACGTTGGCCATGACGGTGATGACGGTGTGCTCCTTGACATTGAATGGACCGGGGTTGAAAGACCAGACGTAGCCGAAGGTATTGAATCGCGTCCGTGGCAAGACGTGTTCTAAGAATTTACCGCACGGTAATGCGATAAGCTGGGCGACGAGACCTGCGACGAATACAGATGGATCTGAAAGAGGGACATAATTAGCGCGATGCTAAGAATACCATGAAGATCGACGTACACCGCATCGAGAAGAACATGTTCATTCCCGCAATCAAAATCACAAAGATACACCCCAAGAACCACATGCGGAACGTGTTGACGGGCATAGTGGGATCATCCGTGTTGGCGACCGCCGCTCGCACTTCAGCGTACGGCGAATCTCTGAGGATGAATTGTCAGTTCAGAGCAAAGCATGAAGGAGATAATCAACGCACTCCTCATATCCGATAGCCTCTGTCGAACGGAAGTGTAGACGCGAGTCAGTCTGCGACTCGGTGTCGTATTCCGTTGTAGACCGGCCCATATCCAGACTGCTACCAAAACGTTTGGGATCTTTGTGGTCATAGTCGACGGACTCCCTGGTCATGAGTGAGGAGGTCTCCACCGACGCCATGTCCCAGTTGGGATCGTTGAGGTGGAGGAGAGCGACCGCGGTGTCCTCAGGAACATCGGGCTCGGAGCGGTATCGCATCCTCAAGGTAG